GAGTGTGAAGCAATATCGAATCAGCATGTACTACAACATTCAAGAATTTTAGGACTTATCAAAGTAATTTGTTGATTATTTGTACGAGTACAAGACTAGTCGATCCCAAATAAATTGAAAAAAATGAGAAAAAAACTTAGTTTGTTGTTGTATTCACGTGAATTGAAGGCAGCTCGAGCAATGAATGTCGACAGTTAGGGCAAGATGGATGTGAAACAAGCCATGCGTCTATGCACCTAACGTGAAATCCGTGATTACATTTGGGCAGCACCCTAATCTTCTCCCCATCCACAAACTCTCCTAAACAAATAGGGCATTCTGTACCCGAAATGTTGGCTCCCGGACCATACACCGCCACCGGAAGCTGCTGCAATACCTGCTTCATGAGGCCAGTGGCGGTGGGGGCAAGTGGTGCTTCAACTTGTTCTTCTGACCGACGGCGTAGAGTTCGTCGGACAAGTAATTTTAATCCAAGCACAACTACAAGTGCACACAACAAGGCTGCCAGAATTACTATCATGTCGGTGTCGAAATCTGACTCACTTAGGTACGAACCTTTACTCTCGGCCTTGTTCAGCGGTGGCGGGGGCAGGCCGCTTGGCTCCACCTTGAGAAGGCGGCGATGATGAAATTTCATCACCACCAGTATGTATGTATATAGCTTGCTTCTCTTCTGGCAACTTCAAAGCTCAACTCAAAGCAGTCAATACATGTTAAGAGATAGGATTTACAGGAGTGTAAACACTAACGAAGAAACATGACTTATAACATGAGTAGGCCAACAGATGCACATAGGGAAGTTAGGAGCAGGGACAGCACAACATATTTTAGTAACTTCTATGTACCAAATCATGATAATTTAGCATTACATTAATATTTTATTGAATATTTGTACCAAATCTAACCAAAACCATTTTATTTTTGTCATAAGTTAGTTTGACACTGAAAATTCTAGACTCGATCAATATACTACACGAACTTGGTAGTCGAATTTATAATGATCAGACCTCATTGGTTGAACGATAGCAAGTGATTATTAGTAGCTAGTTTCTTGAACCCATCACAACGGCATCTCGAGTATGAGCATACAAGCAGTGTACTTTATAGTTAAGAATATGTACATAGGTTGTCGATATTTGGCCCGACCATCATAAAACATATTTTTCTCTTGAAATAGAGTGTATGTTCGATACGTAATATTATATAAATTAAACAAATTTTTATACTATCCACTGCCCAATGTGGAACCCTACATAGTAAGTTAAAATAAGTTCTCAATTTGAAAAATAATTTTTACCTTACAACGAACCGTTGAAAAATAAATGGTTTTGTAATCGTCACTTTCTATAGTTTAGTGCTATTTATGTAAAGTGATTTCGTTAATGGGCATTGTTATCTGGGCTAATGGAAATAGAAAATAAGCAGCCCAAATCATATTAGTACCCCGATTCTTGAAAACGGCTGGACAGTATCTAGGAACTACTGTTTGCGGAGACATGCATGGATCAAAGTGCAATTGATATCTCACTGTTATTTCTAAGCTTGTTAATACTGCAGCATGTAGCTCTGAATGGGCTTAATAGCGCAAAACGTCCCTATGTTTGACCTCTATTGTGGAAAACGTCCCTACGTTCCTTTTTTTGCATTTTCGTCCTTATTTTAACATTTCCTTGCGCTTAACGTCCTTTTCACTGATTTTCAAGATAAAATGATTAAAATACCCTTCCTTTTAAATAAAAGAGAAAAATAAGTTGCAACTATAGGCCCAAACGTTTTAAAAATGCGACGGCGTCGGAATTTGGCTTTGAAGGGGCCGAATTTGCTGTAGAAGAAAACAACTGTAAATCTTGATTTTCAACCCACAAATTGGATCAATTGGATGATTAATTGGTACAATTAATTCATGGCACAGTGTGTTAACAACCTGAATTGAAGGTATCAAGGTCGAATTGGTGGATTGAAGCCTTGTAGAATCTTCAAGTCGTTGTGTGCGCGAATTGTCGAGGCTGGTTCGTCCAACAACCTGAATTGAAGGTATCAAGGTCGAATTGGTGGATTGAAGCCTTGTAGAATCTTTAATTGACAAGGGATCGTTGTGTGCTGTCGAGGCTGGTTCATCCATTTTGGGGCAAAATTGACTGTGACCCATAGGTGCATTAGATGCGCCATGAAGAGGCGGTACTAGGTGGATGGTCTGCTATCATGAGGATTTTGAAGTGGCCGAATTCACAGTATTTTTGGCTTCTCGGGATGGGTTTTTGGGTTGTAATTTCTACCAAATCTGTTGCCATGAAGGTTCGATGTTGGATTGTATGTGTAGAGGGGAGCGAGGGCTTTCCGATGGTATGGAGGTCCGATAGTTTGGGCGGTGGTTGGCCGGAGTTTTTTGGCTTCAAAGGTGGCAGCTGACATTTGGATTTTTTTGGCTTGGTGATAGTTTTTTCAAATATGGACTCATTTGCACTTTTTAAAAAGTTTAGGAGTGATATTGCAATTTGTTCCTAATTTTTCTTCTCTTTTATTTAAAAAGAAGGGTATTTTAGTCAAAAGGACATTCAGCGCAAGGAAACGTTGAAATAAGGGCGAAAATGTAAAAAAAAAAATGGAATGTAGAGACGTTTTCCACAATTGGGGTCAAACGTAGGGACGTTTTGCGCTATTAAGCCCTCTGAATGAAAGGCATTCAGAAATTGTGAAACTAATGTAGTGATAGTTGGAGAAGTTTTTTTTCTAATCAATTATTGACAATATTAACAGATTACATTGATTTCCGATCTACGTCTTGTCATTCATGGGCGGACCTAGGGGGCCCCACTTTGATTTTTTTTTTTTTATATAAAATCGTGTTTGGTACTGATTGAAATTTTAATTTAAATCTAAATCAAAGTTAACAATTAATTTTTATAACATATTTCATGGAATCCATAATTGTTTAACTTTTATCAAAATTTACTAAAAATTTGATTTTAACCTTCATCAAATAGGGGCAAAATCATAATAAATTTGAATTTCGATAACATGCTAATTTTAAAAATTCTCATTTGATCGTACGCTAATCGAATCTACAAATTGATTATGTTACTTCAAAGATAATTTGGAGAATTACATTATGGGCATATTGAATAGTCCAAATAGATATCGAAAATAGTTAAAAATACGTTAAACGTGAGTCTTAAAAAAAGACAAAAAAGACGTCTAACTCGCATTTTTTTTAAAAATTCAATTATTTCGTTAACAATTATTATTTTTACAATACAATTTTTTAATGTAATTTTCATCATTTTATTAGGAAAATTTATATGGAATATAACATCAAAAAATTTCGAAATTTTACAATCAAAAAACTCATATTCCATGTAAATTTTTGGATATAAAATTACATGAGTTATGATTTTTTTGGACGTAAATTTTCTATTGTAAAATTTCTCCCAAATTCTTTGCAAGTTCAATTGTACTCTCTAACTTTTAGGATCTGCGTCAGCCCCAGTTGTCATTACCAACAGTGGCGGACCCAGAACTTGGCCAGCCTCCGTGGCCGCCCGTGTTGGGTCCGTCAAAACCTTCACCCTTCTCGCAGTCCGCCCGGAGAAGAAAGATGAAGAAGAGTAGAAGACGACGACTCTGTAAAATTTTCCCCATTTCTTGATATTTCATTTGTTTAATTGTTTGGGCTTATTTAAAAAAATAAGGCCCAATTAATAAGCCCAATCCTGCAATCCACGGTTGATAGGGCTGTCCGTGGGTCGGTTTGGTTCTGAAGAGATCCAAACTGATCCAAAACTTTCGGGTATTTAATAAATGGACCCATCGGGTCCAAATATAATTATGGAACCATTCAGATTCGGTTCCGTTCCGTTCGATTCTGCACCATAATCAATTTTTTTTAATATTTACAGTAACACTACATAAATATAACTAATGACATTTCATTCATAACTTTTACAAATTAACGTAGCCTAATTCAAAAACATATAAATAACTAGCCGTCCAATAAAATTAATTCAATGCATACAAATATCAAAAAATAGATATTAATATTACAGCAAAACTATATAAAGTATATTCATTTGCTTCAAATTAAAATGGGGTAATGTGTTTTAAAAATGATTTGAGTTTTAAAATTAAAATTATGAAATAATCTGATTTGTTTAATTAATTTGCTAATTTGTATAGAAAAAATAAAATAATTTAATTAATTCAATATAAAAAATAAAAAACTATTTTAGTTTCGATTCTTATTCGATTCTTGGTTTAGACCCGAGACCCAACCCAAATCCATCGGTTCTCGATTTGGGTACCCGTTCGAATATTTAATTTATGAAAAATCGCTCAATTTGATTCGATCAGGTTCAGTTCGGGACCTTTGGACACCCTAAATATATGAAAGTCCATTACCATTAGGTCCATTAGCCACAACAATTACAAAACCAAATCAAATTCATTTTGGTCCGACAGAGGGACTGAGGGAGAAGGACGATTGTGAGTCTGTGATAAGGGCGAAACTGCGGTGTGAGGGGGCCCCTGCCTGGCTGTGAGTCTTTGACACCACCGAGACAAGTGGACGAAGTCAGTGTCACGGAGGAGGGTGGTCGGTGGTGCAATAACCAATAGCTGGAGGCCGGTCTGTTGGAGTTTAGTCTCGTCTGCGGTCTCACTCGGCCTCTCAGGTCTGCCGGTATGCCGTATGCGTTCTAACTTCTGCCTGCCTGTAGCCTGTAGGTGTTACTTATTAGCTCAAAAATCTTGCCTTGCCATTTGCCTATTTCTTATTTGCTACTTGCTAGAGGCTAGTGCTTGTGCTGTTGTGAGTCTGTGACTTATGCATTCTGTATTTCCTATTTGGGTGCATTGACTGCATTCTGTATTTCTGTTTTTGAATTGTGATTTGAGAATTTAGGGTTTTAGAATTGGATTTGGATTTGATATTGGATTTAGGGTTTGGAATTGTGGGAATTGGAAATTTGGATATATATAATTTTTACGTTTCAGTGTGTGTACATATATATTGAACAATTTTTAATATTATATAATTAAATATTAATAAACGACATCGTATTTACTATGTCTGATTGTCGACGTTGACCGGTTAACGTCTGCCTTCGATGCTGGGTCCGCCACTGATTGCCATGCAATTTTACTGTCATTGTAGTCAGTGATGTGAGTTTGTTTTCTCCTTTCATGTTTCTTGTTCTTGCTCTTTGTTTTGTTCTTCTTTTATTTCTTTCAACGTCTTCTCCTATTACTTGAGACCATGCAAATGTGCTTAAATCTTTATTTATGCAGGAAAATGAGGATGATTTGGGAGAAAGAAGCGGAGTTCTGGAAAACAGAATGAAGAACTAAAGAAGGAGATATATGATCTGAAGAAAGAGATTGAGTTTATCAACGATGAACTCATTTGTAGTTCACGATCAGAATGGAAAACTGAGAAAGGAAGTGGAGAACTTGAGACGTGAGAACCAAGTCTTAACGTTATCAACAGAAACTCTTGTTGCCTGACTTGAAAGTATCGTCTTTGAAAGGCACTGGATGGGGATTGAAGATCAGAGTTTTGAGTAGTGAAGGAAAAACAGTGCAATTTAGTAGAATGTACAATACCACAAGTGACCCAAATTAATAGATGTAGGACTTTTAGAT